ATCTAACCTTAACTTCCCTTCCCTTGAAGGACCCCAACTCCCACATAAGTGCCTCACTCCAGTAAGACCTCAATATTTAAGTACACTTTTGGATCTGGGCCTGAGGAACAGCCCAACATACTCTTCCAACACATTGGAGATGTTCAAGAAGAGGTTGCACAAGCATTGGTTGGGGATGATCTAGGCAGAGCTGCACCTGTGTTCTCCTGTGGGTATGTCCTATGCTTCTGGGCTTTGCTGGTTGCTGCATGGCCAAGTAAATAGCTGGAAAAATTGTTCTTTTCAAGTTTTCAGGCACAAATGCCCTTCTTCAGGTTGTTTTAAGCCATCCTCAGAGGCACTGGCCACAGCCAAGGCTGGGATTTTTGACTGGTGTATGCCAGTGCTCCTGCTGGGACTTACACCTGGAGGGCCCTGGCTAGAGAGTCCTGCCTCTCTGCTCTGCCCATATTTAGGGTCAAGATGGACTTTTACCCTGTGGTCAGGCTGCTTTGGGCTGTGGTAGGTTTTGCCTTCTTATGTAGTAAGGGGCATAACCTTCTTCCTGGGATCTTTTAAGCATATTTTTAACAAGTTTGCAGCAGCAGCACATTGGCTGCCTTAGTCCCCCTGCTTTACCTATGTCAGATTAGGGTGTTATGTCTTGTGTTGCATCAAGGTAGTTTTGCTAAGAGATTAGACACTGGATTTGTATGGGATGGTTTGGATAGGGATGAGTCTACCTCAGGCACGATGTGACCCTTGGAGGTCCCTTCCAGCCCTGCTTCTCTATGCTTCTGTGACCTGTGGCATAGGCAGTGCAGTTAGCACCAGGTAGGGAGCAGAAAGCAGAGAGACAGATCAGGCAGCATAAAGGGATTGACATGGCACTCAGGGAGGGGATCTAGCTTACCTTGTCTGCCAGAAAAAAGGTTGGCTCTCGCTGATTTACAAGGTCCCTGTGTGATTCGGCTGGGTAAGGCCAATTCACAACTGGGGCTACAGTTTTGGATGGAAGTTGATGATATCTGTAGTGCAGACGAGACACTAAAGCATGCCCCTTTTATTCTTTGCAGTGGTTGCCCATCAGGAAAGGAGGAGGAGTGTGTCCAGTGGGTACAGAAATAGGAATAGGAGTTAGGAATTCGGGGGTCTTAGCTCTGCCATTAGGCGACTCTGTGAGTTTGGGCAAGTCATATTAGCTGCATCACAATTTATTACCATTTCTGAGGTGTATTGTAAGGCTTGAAAAGTAGATCAGTGGGTGTCAGACAGTGGAAGTGTATCAGTTTGCACCAAGGAGAGTCTGCGCCTTCAGGGTGACAGACCATGATGAGATTTGGGGGGGAATCTAAAAGGTAAAGCATTTTTCATAAAAGAAAACTCTTTCATCTGAGAGACACAGGAATTATTTGTAGAAAATGTCCATGTGCGCAGAGGGAGAACCATGAGCAGACAGGGCTAATGGGGTATATCTAGGAACTTCCTCCAGAAATTGTTCATAGAGGAATTCTATCATTATTGCTGGCATAAGCTGAAAAATACATCCTCATGCTATGTGTGGCTAGAGATGGGATCCAGCTGAGTGTTTTGTTACAGTACATTAGACCCAGGAGCAAATGTTCGGTGTTGTTTAGAGGCTTGTGATCTAACAAAATAAAACTGGAGAACAACCATTATTTCTTCACCAAAAGTGAGCTTACAACTTTCTTACATTTGTGAACCAAAAAACGTCAGTGCTTGTTATAGCATTGTATGTGACACTTAAATGGGCTGCTTTTCAATAATGTTATTACCAATATCATCAATATAACTTGGGCATATTGATAGAGCAGTGATGGTGTCCTGCCTGACTCCAGAAGCATGAACATGAGCCATACTTCAGACCTGTGCCAAAGGCTGCCTCCAGCTGACCTAGCTGTAAATGGGTACCTGGTCTTTCAGGTTGGGGAGTTAAAGATAACCAAATACTAGCCACATCACTTCATTCTGCCATTAAGATCAGGCCTAACTATTGTGTAAAAGCCATTGTGGTCCGTATTTCTACCCATTTATCCACTCTTGGCTTCTTTTGCATCCTTTGCCAGATTGAGGAAGGGAAGGAGTGCTGCATCCGAATTAGATCATGACATATAACAGGTGAAAATAGCATCACATTAAACCATTTTATAATAATTAATCCTCCAGTGGCTTCATTTTGATGGATCTTTTTTAAGAACATTCAGATATGGTAGAGGCCTGACCATTTGGAGAAATGAATTTAGAATGACCTTTGTTACAGAATTGGCTTTCACAGGAGCAAAACTCCCACTCATTTTTGCTCTCAGTAAAACTGTTTTAATGGTTTCAGTGGCATGGTTTAAATATTATAAATGTTTTGAAATTTTAAAACTGCATTCATTCTCTGAGGCTGATCATCTGTGGGATTTCACACAGGACTGATTCCATCCAGGAGTTTTGCAGATATTATACTCACTACTCAGGCACTGCTATTATGGTTTATGATGTTCACAGAACCACTTGGTTAAACAATTTCCTTTCAGTCACTGTAGCTCTTCTATTATTATAGATTTGGCTGAATTAAAATGGACAGGTAGAAAAATTGAGCTTTTTGAACAAAAGACCCAAGAGTGACAGACATTAAACTAGGTAGTTCTCTTAGGCTGACTCCAGGCAGTCAAAAACCCTGAGGCTGAATCAATTCAATCTTCACAGGTTTGTCTAAACTGCATAGGCTGAACTGATAAGTCAGTGAACAGACATTCACTTTTGATTCAGGAAATGCAGCCACTTGCCTGAGGTGGCCCAGGCCAGAAACCGGGGTGGGGAGGGGGGCACTACAGCATGCCTCCCTGCTGCACTGGAGCAGACAGCTTGGGCCAAAGCTAGCCGGCCCACCCTTTGAGGGGGAATTGTGAGGGAGGTGCAAAGCATCCTGGGATGCTGCAGGATTGTGAGTTAACTTGAATCTGGAGGGGATGTAGAACAGAAATTCAATAAACTGATTTAACCTAAATCAGTTAAGTCTGATACTACATCCATCCAGGTTTATCTTAAACTGGTGTCAGCCATTTGGAAGTGGTTTACGTGCACAGAACTTCTGTTGAGTTACAGATTTGAACCGGTTTCCGATTGCTTATACTGGTTTATGTGTAACTTCTGTTCCTAGTCATGCAGTTTGGCAGCTGATGTAGAGTTAACTATAAATTCTCACTACCTTCAACTATGACTTCTCCAGTCCCTACAAATGTGCAAGAAGATAAAGAATACAAAGACTCTGTGAAGAGATGAAGAATGGAGCTGCAAACAGAAGGCACCAGGCAAACCTGTTGAAATCAGTGGAAAGATCACTGTTGACTTTGATGAACTTTGAATCAGGCCCATAATAGGCGTGGTGGGTAATATGCAGCAAACTTTCCTGTTGACAGCTACAGAAGAAGGACAAAGCTTTGCTAGTCTGCCTTGTAGCGACGCATATCTTTGAGCTGAAAGTTTCCACTTTCTAGTGATTGCTTCTGTCAGTCTGTTCAATGCTGATGAGCCAGGGTGGAAGAAGATGGTATTGGAGACTGTCATCCCATTACTAGAGCCTTGCCACATACCAAAATTGCATGCCAAAGATGTAGATGCCTCAAATTTTCATGAGATGGTTATTATTTAAATTCGCTTCCCAATGAGTTTGTGCATTGAGGCTGTGTTGTCTACAAAGACTTCCTGTTTATATTTGATGCTAACTGTGCCTTCTACTTGATTCAATCACTGGTTAATTTGATTCTCCATTTGATTTTATCAAAACCTCAGTAACCAAATAACTTGTATTAAAACAATACAACTTCCACTTGCTAGTCCGATCAATTTTAATCCTTTAGGGCACAAGGTTTATTGGGTAATCTGATCACTGGCTAACAAAGAGCTGTCATTAAATTTGCAAGGAAAGGCTGCTATTCAGAATGAGATTGGAGAAAAAAACCCCAATGGAAGCCTAGAAAAAAAAAAAAGCTGCTATTCAGAAATCATTGATAAAGAACTACCATGTATGATGAAAGCATTCTGCTTGGTCATGGGAAGAAAAAAGATCAATGGCTTATTTAAATCAAAACATTTCTAGCAATGAGCTGCATTGACATAAATAAAGGCCCCATTGTTGGAGAAAGATTGATTGAGCCTCTTGCATCCAATTTTCAGCTTTCTGACTGAATTTATCTAGCTGTTGTTTAAGTTCCCCTCTGTGCAGTAAGCCTTGTTTTCTAAAAGCTGAACAGGTTGCCTAAGTAGATGGAAAAGTTCTCCATCCCATGCTGGTTATCCAATATCATGTCCAGAGGAGGCCGCTCGCAGGATCAGGGGGCAGCAGGGCAGGCCCTACGAGAAGAGGCTATAGG